CCCGATCTTCGGGGTTTCAAAGGGTGGGGATCTCAATGGTGGCCCACAGCCTCCCAGTTTTCAAAGACTAGCGTCTTGCTCGGCTCTGTGCTGGAGTATGAGGCAGCCATTTGTGTGTATCAGGGAGATGGGCCTTCAGCCAAAGCTGAGGGGGCAGGACTGCCAGGCCCAAGGGGCCCAAGAGCAGGTCCTACTGGGGCTTCGAGTTGTCACTCAGATGGACTAGCAGAACGGGTCCGATCAAACCTGAGGGGGCAGGACTGCCATCTCAGTGGGCCTAGAAGGCAGACCCACGGCCAAGTGGCCTCTACCCAGAGTGTCCCACCCCCACGGTCTGGAGAGTAGGGCTGTCGTTTGGGTGGCTTCAGATAAGAGGTTATCAGATAAGGATTCTTTTGAAGCCTTGAGAGCTAATGAAAATTTTTCTGCAAAGCACTCTTTTCCTCTAGTTTACCCCATTTGTCATGGAAATTCTACTCTGGACCTGCCCCACCATTGTATTTTAGAAGCAGATGGCTTGTATTCTAGATTTCGCAGGTTGGTGGAGGAAGAGGCACTTGGTCTTGGGATGGAATCTGCCTGGTGTGTTGATTCAGAGGATCCTGAAGATGAGGTTTTGGTGGGTTTAAGACGTCAGGAATGATGCGCTGTGGTGAATGTGGTTGACGTGTAGCAGGAACACGGGTTTTGGAAGGCCAGAGAGTTTTAGCTTGTGTTCCCCTAAAACGTGTAAGTCAATCCTAGCCGCCATGCTTGTGGCCATAATGCTGTTGGGGAGTGGGTTTGTTAGCTCTCTCTGGGGGGGAAATACCTCGGTCCTTGGCTCCTCACAAGAAAGAATTCATGCCGAAGCCTGGTTTGTGATTCAGGTGGGTTTATAGAGAATAGTAGCAGTTTCAGGTTCTACAGTAAATGGAACGCAAGCCAGACAGAGTCCGCAGCACAGTTGCGAGACTGTGGCCTGGCCGCTCCAGACCGACTGCAGCCCAGCTGCGCTACAGTTACGTGTCAGCCGCTGGGAAAGAGAGGGCCCAGAGCAAAACCTCTGGACTTTTCAGGGCCCATTGGGAGGTGTGGTCAACAATACTGGTCGACCCTAGTGGCTGAATCAAATTCACCTGGCTTAGATGGGCCAATCCAGGTGGAACGCCCACCTAGGTGTACCACCCCTTCCTGGCTGGAAGCTGGAACCTCTGAGCATGCGTCATGGATGCCCCAGTCCCTGTGCTAGCTACCTAACAGGTTCTCTCTGCCCTGTTAATGGGGCAGGATTAATGTGGGGTCTATCTTGAGGGGGTCTCGTTTGAGGCATCCAGGAGATTGAACAAGCAAGCAAGCTGATGGGGCCTCATGGACTTTTCAAGGAACTGGACGCAGCAGCTAGGGGACAAGAGCCTTCCTCCAGAGCCAACCGAGGGAAGCCTTTCCCCAGGGCCAGCGCCCTGAGTTCACACTGCTGGTCTCCTCGACTGTGAGGAAACGCATTTGTGTTTGGTAAAGCCACCCACTCGTGGGCTGTGTTACAGCCACAAGGGTAACGAAGACAGCCCCCCACCCCCACCCCGATGGCCATTTGCTTGGTTGGGCCCAGTGTTGTAATGCTGCAGTCTCCTGCTCACGGGCCTCTGGGACCTTCAGGAGCACCGCGGGCCCTCACCCACCCAGAGGCCTTTGCAGAGGAGCCAATGAGGGCCACACATTCCCGTCACTTCTTGCTGGGCTGACTTCGCAGGTGCCAGGTTCATTCTGCCCAGCATCCCACTCAGTTCTCCCAGAAGCCTCATGATAGGACCCGGTATCATCTCCATTTTGCGGACAAGGAAGATGAGGCTCCGAGAGGTTTAGAGACTGCCCTGGCATACACCTGGGAAGCAGTGGGGCCAGGATTCGAACCTGTATCTTTCTG